TGTGGTAATAAACATGACACATCACTATACACTACTACATCAATATCGCACGCATACATACTCACAAATTGTCGGTAAAACAGCGGATTTTTGGAGTTTGATCTAGGGTTTCGGATCCTCTTAAGAGAATGTTGGCACGACGGCTAAACTTGCATGAGGTCGATAAAACAGACTTTTCAATTTCAAACTAAAAATATTAATAATAATGGTATCTTAAAATCAATTTCTTACAATATCGTTCTGTCTCAAATGCGTACATTTGTCCTTATTTAACATATTGCAACGCCATTTTTTGCAAAATTCGGCACTTACTGCTAGTTTTTTGCTTTGTTTTTTTTTTGCTCTCTTTACCATTCTGTATCTTAGCTATGCATATGTATTACCGCAAATTACAATTGAATGACTATCTTTTTTCCTACGCTTTCAATCAGAGCTCAAAAGGCTATGTATTATTTGTTCATGTAATCTATGGTGTGAGACGCAGGCATTTTGTACACAATTACACATGAGCTACAAAACTTTTACACTAATGAAATGTTTACGTCAGGCGACAGCTGTACGACCCGAAAAATGTAACTTTAATTTTTTTTCCGATTCTACAAATTCGTTCGTCTCACACCACAATTTCATGTCTATTTCAATCCTGTGAAAGGATTTTCAATTTCGCTTAGTCAATTCGGAGAAATTTACTCAACTGCAATATGTGATCAGTAATTCCGACCTTTTATTATCGCTTTAACCAGAGAGGATCCTTTCTAGTTACAGCCAAAAGGCCGGCATGTCCGCTCTCGGATCCTCTCTGCTTTAACCTTTAAAAGTTTAAACCACTACGCCCAAAAAAAATCACACTAACCCCAATGTCGGTCTAACAGACCGCTATTATGCTACCGCTAATTTTATAAGTTAATTATAATAAAAATTATGTTTTCTGAATATTTGTTGATAGGGAAAAGGAAAACTATATTTTAATGTAAGGGTTAACAAAAAAATTTCGTATATAATTGTTGACAAATAACATTTCAATAGCGGTCTGTGAGATCGATATAATGGTTTAAAGGTTAAAGAGAATATATGTATAATTGTGATAAATTAAATCATGCTGTTTTGTTTGTATTCTTGATTGAAATAACTACTCTTTCATAAATCCTTTTCTTAAATAGCAATAGAAGTCAAATCATTTAAAAAATTTTTTAATTCTCTTTATAATTGTATTTTGTTTAATTTGAGTCAAAATAATTTTTTATAAATTATACTTTTATATAGTAAGTTCGTCTATAATAACATCTAAACCTTCCAAATTTCTTAAGAAACACTCGTTCAAATTTAAAAAAAATAAAACACAGTTGTAAAGAGAATTATAAGATTTTTGAACGATAGCTATTTTATTCAAGAAAATGAAGCAGACTGAATTATATATTATAAACAATTAAAATGAGAAAAGATCTATGCGGTCAAAGTGGATCGTGCTTAAATATTTATGAATTTTATAATTTTCCAGTTCAATATATTACAATTATACATGTATTCTATATTTTGTTTGTTATATATTATACATACATAACAAACAAAATACATTCCTCTTAAAAATAAAATTTACATGTTTCGGCATATTTCGTACAAATCAGACGGTTAGACCTATTTTCATAACATATGGTTAACGAAAAGGTTAGATTAACTAAAAAAGTTGTTCTTGAAAGTTAACTAAAACACTTTTATAAGCTTATAGTCAAATAAACTAAAGGTTATATGTACATCAGTTGAGTTGGCATCAAGTTAACATGGTTAAGTCCTAATTAAATGTCGTGAAACAATAACTTTCTTGGTATTTTTTAACCTTTAGGTAACCATACATTGTGAAAATGAACCTTATAAAGAAAACGGAATGGAAAGTTTTTGCACGATGGTTCCCTGTATATAATTATATAAATATATATTTATATATATATATGTGTATATATATATATGTATACATACATATTGCAGAAATTTAAAACACGCTTTTGTAAACGTGGTAGAACAGTGAGACAGAAAAGTCTCGTTGTACAAAGGGTACTACCTATTGTATCTGCGCCAAATATGCCATCAGAAAATTTGACAACTGATACTAATAAGATCGCTAGTGGATCTTCATTATGTCAAATGCAAACTGATAAAACAACGGTAAATGCAAATCAAGAGGTTCATGACAAAACTTTCTTAGACGCTTTAGGAACAAGTGGAGATGCAAAGAATTCCAATTCAATTATTACTAGTGCTACTCAAATTCTTAAAGAAGGTGAACATCAATGGTTAAATAGCGAGGTAATTATAATTATCACTATAAATGAATTGATGAATGCAAAAAGGTCACGAATCTAATTTTGGGGGGAAATTTGATTTCTTCTAAAATTCTTTCAAGTAAAATAATAATACAAGTTTTAAAGTTTTTGTGGTTTGGAATTTTGTTTAACATAAGATTAAGTACGTAATATCTTTTTTTATTTCTGGAGATTTCTTATATCTTAGAAATATTTGGTGTTGTCACAGATCTGGAAAACCAGGAAAATAGAAAAAAATCATGGAAATTTAAATTGGCTAGAAAAAACCCGGGAAAAGTCAGGAAAAAATATAGAAAAGCCTGGAATTTTGAACTTTGCTCACAATTTTTTTAAAAAGATGCTCAAGTCTCTATTTTATTAAAACGCAATAATTTTTGCACAATGTTTTTGTATGTATTGTTTATACATGTTGACCTCAATATGTTATACTTCACATATCTTCAATTGTTGCAATGAATATTATCACATGCCTTGGTGGTCGAACAGGCTAAGACGCCCGCACGAAATGTAGGGAGGTCCAGGTTCAAACCCTGGCTGAGATAATATTTTTCGCAGCAAAATTTCTTAACATTTACATCGCGTCGCGGGGGAGGGGGGTTTTATTAGATACCGGTGAACATCCGTATTTATTAAATTGATTATCAATTTAATAACGTGATAATACTATTCTGTTTCAAGCAAAGAGCTGCGTTGAAATCGAAAGTAACGGCGAACAATTCGTAGAACTAGAATATGTATGTAAAATTCACATAGAAATATTAAAAACACCAAGATCCTGCTATAATCGTTCATCGATCTCAATTTATTGTATTAAATAGTTTTTGTTAATATTAAAAAATTTGATAAACGTAACTTGTGCTCTTTCTGCACTCACTGATTTAAATATGATTTATATTTTTTGTGTGAAAAATTAATGTTTAATTAAACAATTGAATTACAGGTTGCAGATTTTTCATTAAGCAGTTTCTTAGGGCAGCTTGAATCGCCTATGAAAGGCTCGCAAAGAAGTCAAACGGGTGAACAGATTATGGAAGATACTCGTCCTTCTTCAGATGTAAGTATAAATGTGCAAAATTATATTAAACATTATTTTATCTTATTACTTTCTTTATTACTTGCTCTATAATTTAATGATATTTCTATTTCAGGTTGTGTCGCATATGCAATGCCTCATGGGAGAAAACAGTGTTGACTACATGGCAAAATTTGCAAATCTTGCATCACAAATGGCTTCCGATGAAAATAAAAAATAAGTAAATTAAGAAAGTGTATCTTTTAATAAGATAAATAATTTGTATATTTCAGTATTTATAATTACACACATGAAAGATCGACTCTTCTTCGTTTTTCTAATTATAACTGGAAATGCGCATTTATCTGTATTGCATTTTTATAAAGATACAACATTGAATGGACTGAAATTCATGATATAATCTTGGTATAAGAGGATGATTCTATAGCTTAAAAGCCTTAAAATAAATCGAATAGAATAAATTTTTTTTTAGTAAGACCTCATTTGAAAAAAAACTTCGAAAGTTAATCGAGTGGATCTGCATTTGAAAAATTGAAAGAATACAATACATTAGAAACAATTCATTCGAATTTAATTCAAAATATAATTTTTATACAAAAATGATAACATTTTCAATAATACCTCAATTAAATAAGAAACGAATGTGTAAGACAAAATATTTTTCGTCTTACATAAATTTACTCGTCTTTCTCAAAAGTCGGTTGAACTAATTACTCCTAATAGTAAACAATCCATACATCATATCTGTAAAAACCATTATGTCAAATATAAATACGCATATTTGATTTTTAAATCTTTTCTCAAAAATGAGGCCTTTATTTGAAAAAAAATGTATTCCGTCATTTTGACTTAGTTGTAAAATCATCTTTCTAGTTGTATTTCTGTATTTTGATTTCTGTGATAATATGATAAATTATCAAATTTGAATTTGAACTACATATAGTGCAATATTGTAAATACGCAAAAAGATAGATAAATGAATAGTATAATACCACTGCTTCCATTATTGTTATATTTCATATTAGTTCCTTTTCGTGAAAAAAAACTGCATTATCGCCGTGCTAGCAATAAAAGTTGTCAATCACGCATCATTAATTATAAAATAAGTAGCTTGTAATAATTATTTAATATCAATATTTTATATCAATTTTGTTATTGGTATTACCTTTAGATATTAATAATTATTGAGGAAAAAACTGACAACGATGATGATTATATCATAGAACATGTACACATAATAAAAGCATAAATTTTGGCATGCTAAATTTTATACCATATATTATTTGGCAGTAATGGCTGTTAGTGCTTGTCTATTTCGTTCTGTCATTATTTATAAAAATACATTGGGGTGCTTATCTTATTTACATGGTACATTTATAGAAAATTAAATTAAATTAAGGTATTATAATATTAATCTTTTATTTAATATAAACGTAAAAATTCAAAGGGAGCAGTGCCATTATGGCCGTTTTTTGGATCCCCGCCAAATTAATTCATATTAGATTATATTAATCCTTATCATAAGACACAAAACACTGTAAGACAATTTCTTGAAAGATCTAGTAGTTTTAGAGATATAGACCTTGAAAAAATCTAAATTTATGAGATTTTACATTGTGACAAACTTAGGTGTCCTGTTCATCCTGAAAGAACCCTCTAATTATACTTACTCAAAATTATGTCATATATATGCGAGATAAAGCATATGAAAATGAGAAGGATTGAATAATGCCATCGATATATTATATTTAGCTTCAAGATAAAAAAAGGGCATATTTTAAAATAGAAATCTTTTAAAAATTGATGTTATCATGATGAAATAATTAAGAATATAAATAGTTAAGAAAACTAACATTTTTTGTATGAATTTTACATAAGTGATTAAGAGAATCATTAACTATGTGATTGATTTGATGGTACTTGGGATGACACTGTCAAGGTCAGCGCAAGATCACTTTGAATTTTTTAAATGAAACTCGCATTTTTCATTGTATATTCTCGTAGCTTATCTCGAAAACTTTTGAGACATAATAAAATACTTTTTTATTAATTTAACTTGAAGAAATTGAGGTTTGTATAATGAATAATCATAAATAACTCAATAATGCCTTTGCGAGCCGACACGGATGCTGGTGTGTAATAATTTTTACTATTACAATATCAAGCCATATACACAGTGCGCCGCATATATTATCGGTCTTGAAACACAGTTTTTTATACATGAGGCCAGAATCCACTGTAACGAATTGAATTGTTAAACAATTTAATATTTTTGATGCTAATAAGCATCTATAAGAATCCCCTTTCCCCCAAATCTGTAAAGAATTTATTGCGAAAAATATCACTTCAGCTCTCAGCCGGGAATCGAATCTGGATTTCCCAGTTTGCCGAACGGGTCCTACCATTTGACCACCGAGGCATGCGATATTCTTCACAATAACTAATACATAAACAATGTAACGCATGTCAGTAGGCTACGTGAATATAAATTTAACTTTAAGGAATTGAAGCTCGTATTACAAATAATAAAAAATAGCTCAATAATGCCTTTGCAAGTAATTTTTACTGTTACAACACATTTTTATTAAGTATTTTTCGAGTTATAAGCTTAAAAGTTACAATACTATCATATCAATCACATACTTGAACATTATATTATTAAATTATTATTTATTCGTTATTTTACTCAATAATGTAAGTACTTGCATTATCGGTTGTATTATATTAATCACATTATTCGTGAAACGGATGCACAAAGTTTGCTAGTGCTAAGAGATTTCCAACCCGGAATATATTCAAAAAATTATGAAATTAACAATACATGGAGGTTCATTCGATATGTGATAAACTATTCTTTTTGCTGCTCAAATTCATTGTTAAGGAATAAAATCATGTTTTAAATCTATTTTTTATTTTTATTTTATTAGTCACCAACAAAAAGAAAATAAATCAAAATTTATGCAGAAAATTTATTTCTTTAATGAGATTAATTATTAATTAGAAAATTTATTATTGGTTTAAAAATGTTAAAAAATGTACAAACAAAATTTGGAATATATATTCTAAATATTCTTGTATTGTACGTTGTTTATGTAAAAAATTTCTTTATTTTCAATGTCTTTGAAACATTTCATAATTAATAGGAACAATTTAAATAAATTAAATATGTGTTTTAAAAAATATTTTTATTTATTTATGTATTCATACCTCTCTAATGTATGTTTACATGTTCACATTTACATTTATATGTTATATTTACATGTTTATTTAAATATGTATATATTTATGTATATGTTTATGTAGTTTTATCTAAATTAAATAAATGAAGTTAATACGGTATTAATAATATATTATAAAAAGCTATGTTGAAAATATAAGAGAAAATTGAGAATACACTTCTTCTGTTTTTATTTACATTTTTTATAATTTTTTAAACAATTAAAAAATTTCCTTGTAAAATCTAAAAAAGTTCATGTAAAGTCGATAACTCGCTTTTCTCGAAATTATTTGTTATCGCTTTTCCGCGATGTTGACGCTCACTTCGTGTAAGCGGCTGTGTCATTGCATTTTGACAGTTGTGTGTATTAAGGTTGATCAGTTGATGTAATTGTAAATTATAATAAGAAGTGTTAAATAGCGCGCGCGAAGCGCGCGTTTGTAGTGCTAGTGATTAATAAAAGAAATAAATTTCTCTATCAAATTTCTATTTCATTTTATTTATTTATTAACTATAATATAAAACAAAATGGAAAATGACCAATTTTCAGATCGATTTTATCTATTCAGGTTGAATTCAAGCAGCAAAAAATAATAATTTATTATATATTAGAATTAGAACATCGTCTGTGTATTGCCATAATTTTTTGAATTTCCGAATTGGGGATTTTTTCTTGTAAGTATTTTGCTTGTACCTAATTTTGCTTCTGACATGATTGGCTTATGTTAGTCGCTGCTTTTATTTCTTATTTAATCCTTTGCATTCCAAATTATTTCACAAGTCTATCTCGATATAGTAGAATATAAGATCAGTTAGTACGCTTAATCCGTTTTGTGATTTTACTTATCTTTTGTGTCATTAAATTAGACTTTTATAATTATTATTTCTATGAAATATAATTAGGCAAAGAGATATTTTTTAGACAGAAAAAAGTTTTTGTTAAAAGACTATTTATATTTAACAAATTTTTCTTTTATATCTTTAATACGTTTTTATGTGGATCTACGAAACTATACTTACAATTAGAATCTTGTTTCTCTCATATTTTTGTCGTTTATGTTATATTGTGTTAAATTTTATATTTTATAACTTTATAATCTTTATATCATATTCTTTAACAAGCCGATAATGAGTGGAACGTCCCGCCACAAAGATATCCGTATTCTTGGAAATAGAGCCTACGGCCTTTTCCCTGGCGAGTTGCGAAATATACATCAAAATGATTCATAGTGCTTACGTCCATACGATCACTACCACACGTCTATCTAGGATTTGTGATAACTATACAGGTATAATTATCCGCATATACGTAAGCAACGTATTCTCTCGCGGATACTTTTCCTCCGAATCGATTAATTATTCAGTTGAATATTTCCAATTAATCGCATGTAATCATCTCGATTAAATAAAATAATGAGTTTTCCTCGCAAATAGTCTCGCGTTGATATAATGATTTGATATACGTACGGTACATTTGGAAATAGCTACAGCGATCGAAAGAATTTAAAAGGAATATATTTAATGAAATAATTATTTAAAAAATAGAATTAGTTTAATAAGATTGTAAAATTATTTAATTACGTCGTAATTGTACTTTTAACATATATTGCAGAAAGTGGGTATGAAAATGATGTTCATTGTTACAATTTTATTGTGCATGCGCGTATTTTCTTTAAAAAAATTCATTATTACGAATTACGAAATGCTCGTTGACTTGTAAAAAAAATTGTAAATCAATGTAGAGAAACAAATATACTACGTCGCAGGGAAGATCGCGGCTGTACCGACGTATACATATATTCACAGTGTGCATCACCGCGTACTATAAATAAATTCAAGCATAGGCGCCCACCACGAGAAAACGCAAAAGTGTATTGTATTCAATTTTTAAATTATTACCTCTCTTATTTGTACAGTCATGGACACATCGGTTGCGACACTTTCTTTTTTATAGGTTTCAAAACGGACTAATATTTTGCAAATGCGGACCACGATTGGTGTTATACTGTCTCTAGACTAAAGATGGTACATCGTGGTTCGCATTTACAAAATATTAGTTATCTATAAACTATATATTATGTATATTAAATATATATTAGAAACCTATAAAAAAAAAGTGTCGCAACCGATGTGTCCACGACTGTACTCCGCTTAGTCCAGAAATAGTCACTTGGAATGATTTTTACATTCTAGAAACAAGAAAATAAATCTCGGTCACAGTTTTCTTCTCTGATTGAGAATCCATATTTATTTTCTTTCTCCTTATGTTATTTTAGAAAATGCTGAGCAAAATTAAGTATACAATTTCAAATATTAATAAATTGTAACACAATAATATACATATTTAATTAATAATAGTGACTTTTAATTAATACATTTTGATCGATACTTTTCTTTAGATAAACTCTTTCTGAATTTTAATTTTTATTTATAAAATCGGTTTTTTTTTTTGTAACTTTGATTACTCGTAATTTTTTTTAATTTTAGATCTTTAAACAGCATTATTGCTGATATCTAATTACCTTTCAATTGCAACTTCAAATTTAGCGTTTTCAATGTATAACTTTACTCTGTTGTGTAATTTTATCTTTATAGTTACTACTATATATCAATAAAATCTTTATTATTGTTTTTTAATTATTATATATATTTTGTTAAATTATAGCCAAATAATATTTATTTTTTTTAATCGACCGATCAAATCACAATTTATTCGTTTTCTGAAAAGAAATTATAATTTAAGAAATTATAAAAATCAGTTTGGTATACTTTTCAAGAAAAAGATACATAAGGATTACAAAATGTAATTTTGATGCTATTTTGTATAGTATATATACTTGTATTTTTACATTTATTAGCATTATATATTTGATCTACACTTTTGTGGATATCGGGATAAAATACTAAAATAAAAATACTAAGAATGTAAATAACAGATCTAATAATAATCATATAATCAGAAATAACATCATTGCATCATTAAGCATTCAGATCATGCAAAAACTGTATGCTCAACTTTTTTTTTTAAACATTTGTACATATCATAAT